TCTTGGATGTAAGTACAATGCCTGAAGGTATGGATAGAATTTCTAAAAAAAAAAAAAAAAAAAAAAGCCATAGTAAAAAATTACCACAATATTGTTGAGCATAAACAAATAAATTACTGAAAACTAATTAGTCATATTTTAATTTATTTTTATCATTTCTAATCATTCTTCTAAAATATAATTTAATTTAATTTAATATTTCAAGAAGTTTATTTAATTAAAAAAAAAAATTCAGGTTATTATTATTATGGTGCTTCTGCTGGACGAGAATGGTTCATTGATCCACGAAATAAATTTCATGATCGTAGTATAACTGCTGAACAATTACAATTTCTTGATAAAGTAAAAATATATATTTTATAATTTTTAGTATTTTTTCAATGTAATTTGTAAAAATTTAAATTTTTGCAAGTAAAAAAACGAAAGAATTCAAATTATCTTTAATTGATATAATTAAAGTTATAAATAAACGATTTCTTCAAATCTGATTTATCTGGAAATTTTCATTTCATATGACAAAAGTAAATTATCAAATTAAGGGTAATAATAATTTTTTTTTTTTTTAGGTATACGATATTATACAGGAACTTTTAAATACTCCAGAGTATAAATATTTCAAATGTATTGGATCAGGTTTACAGAAACATTATGGACATATAACTATTGCACATCAAGACATTTATAATTCAGTACCAATTCAACAATCGAATGCTCTGTTTGTTTTATCGTTTCCCTTTTTTTTTTTCAAATTTTTTTCTTGCAATTATTAAAAAAAAAAACCAGAATCATTTTTAACGTTTTTCGGCATCTTTACGTCTCCGTGTTTTACGTCAATAACGACGCAAGAAATTAGAATAACCTGATAGATAATTGGTATAATACAGTATGAAAAAAAATCAAATTTATATATTATATTTATTTATGCATTAAAAAAAAAATTAATTAATGTTAATGATAGTAATCTAATAAGACAATAAATGTTGCTATGAAAACCAAATAATAATAATTATAATAATAGTAATTATAATTATAACAATTGGGTGAAATAATTAAAATCACTTATCATTAATTTAACCCGTGATATGATTTCATTAGTGCTAGTTGTTTGTACTGTTATCAGTTACTTGATGTTAATGCTTCTTTGATAATATCATATGCAAAAATTTTTTGCCACAGTCATTGTTTATTAAAAGACCATTAGATAGAAAATTATGAACGAAACTAAGGTATAAATTAATTTATTAATTAATGCAATACCTGTTTATTTATTCATTTATCTAATTTATGAATAAAGTAAGCGAATTAACCTAAATAACTCATCTTGTAAAGTTCTAATTAATTGTAAAGTAGCAAACGATGTGCTGATAAATTAAATTGATATTGTATTATTTAGTCAGTTTATTATTAATTAAGTGATTACTCCGTTAATTATAATGAATTAAATTGTACCAAATTAGTTTTATCAAAATAAAAACAAAAAAAAAAAGGCGCACTACTGTGGTAGAAATAATATTGTTTGTATTGTTATCAGTATAATAAAATTTAATTTAAAAAATAAAATAATAGTAATAAGAGAAATCTTAGTTTCAGTACTTTTTAGGATTCCATTTTTTTTTTTAATTTAAGTTTTTACTAAACATTAATTTTAAGTTTGAAGAAAATTAACGAAATTGTGAATGAAATAGATGGAATGCGACGATCATTGGTAGTAAATCAAGGAAGTACCGATATTAAAATATATCTAAAGGTTTGTTTAAAAAAAAATATATATATATATATATACATATATGATAGTACTACTAATTTAACATTAAGTTTTTTTAAATTTTTGATTTTTAACATAATTTTTTTAACATAATTATTTTTTCGTCTTAAATTAATTTTCATACATTCACATCGATTCTTCAATAATTTAACTTCATAAAACATATAAAAGCTAAGTGATAGTTGAAAATTAGACGGATGAAAGTATGCCAAAATTAATTTCAATAATTTGATTCGATTACTTAATTACATGTCAACTTCTCAAATAACTCGAATAATTAAAATTATTGTCACTAATTATTGGAGTAAAAATGATCACAATTCATATTCGTTTTTTTTTCTTTTTTTGTATTGAAAGAAATGTACAATTAAAATTTTTTTTGCTATGAAAATTTTAGAAAGAAAAAAAAGGACAATTATAGAATTATCTATTTTGCATAATTTCATTCCTTTTTTTTTTTTTTGTAAAAAAAAAATCATTTTTTAGAATTCCAATGGAATAGTCTTTAATAAAGGTCATGGTATTGCATTATTAGTTGAGAATATTCGTTGTAAATTATCTGATGGTAATATTTTGGTATGTGGTGATAGCGAATCTGATTTACCAATGGTCGAAGTATGCTTAGGACGTAATCCACGTAATGTTTATACAATTTGGGTTACAGAACGACAAGATTTGAAACAAAAGGTTTGTTTATTGTATAATTCATTTGTTTACTTTTTTTTGAATTATATAATTTGAATAAAGTTAATGAAATAATTAGCTATTAATAATTTATATTTTTCTTATAATTTTTATTATTTTAAGAAAAATTTTCACAAAATTAATTATTCCTTTAACAACATTTTTACTACTTTTCATTAATAAATTAATTATTTTTTTCCAAAAATGATCGTATTTTAAATTTTAATTTAACAAAATTTTTTCATCAAATTTGAAATTGCGAATGTCAAATTTTCTTTTTCAAAAATTAATTTTTTTTTCTTTCAAACAGTTCAAAATATTCGAAAAAAAACATCTTAATGATTAATGTATAAATTTCCATATTTTTTGTATCATATTTTACTTTATGCTAAAGTTATTACCATATTCATACCCATTACAGGTAAGATCATTATGCAGTCGATACGGTAATAAAAATGTTGCATTCGTATCATGTCCCGAAGTGTTACTTGGTGCGATGGCCCAAGCAACAATACGTGAAATTAGCATTATTAGGCCACGTCATAAATTGCCAAGTAAAAGCATTTAATCCTCAAATGAAACTTGCATTTTCATCATTTTGTACCACAAAATTTATAAATATTTCCATTGAAAAAAGAAAAAGGCATTCAAATTTCAATGATATATTTCATAAAATGGATTTAAAACAAAGAAATAAACAAATTCTGTTGTTTATTAGAAGGAATAAAAATATTTCTCACAAAACGTCTGATTGAAATTACTGTTATTATAATTTAATTATTAATTTAAAACATTTACCATACTGCACATATTGTAATTTAAATAATGATGAGTAATATCTCCTCAATTTGTCATTTACTTTGGTAAATTTAAATGTACCATCTCATATTCTTTTATTGCTCATAAATGTTATCAATAAGATAAATTATCTTTTTGATGCATTTATTTGAAAATATTCAATGAAATAAACTACGAAATGATTCATTTTTGTAATTTTATTCAACAATGTTAATTATATCACGTTGATTGATGGTTTCATTAAATCATCCATACGTAAAAATTATATAATAAAATCAATACGACAAATCATTTTGTAGTTTTCATTCAGTGATATTAATTATATCGCTTTGATTAATACGACAAATCATTTTGTAGTTTTTATTCAGTGATGTTAATTATATCATTTTGATTGATGGCTTCGTTCAATCATTCATGCATAAGAATTGCGTAATAAAATTAATACGACAATTAAATGATGGATACAGAATGTAGTGGATTTCTATAAGCAAAAAAAAAAAAAAAAATAAGACTGAAATACTACCATTACAGTCATTCAATATTTCGGTTTCATTTGTCAACTGTCGCCTTTTCTTGTTTTGTTTTTTTTTTTGGATGAAATTTCTATTATTAGTAATTAGAAAATAATTGATATAAGGAATATACTACAAGAGATATTCATTGCAATCAACAATTATTACAAATTATTTAATGTTAGTATATTATCACCAAGAACATTGTTAATACATTATCATTATCACTAACAGTTAATAACAGTTATCACGGTATGATTTAATTCATCATTTCTCAAATTAGTTCTATGCACGATTACAAAGGAAAATAAAAATCAAAAAATTGAAATTTAAAATTGATGAAATTTCATTTTTGTACTCCTACAATATCAAGAAAGAAAAATTGAAGGAAAAAGTAAATGTTTAAATGAAATGATGATATAAGGATGGAATGATAATTTAAAATTTATTAGTCTACTTACAATTAATCAAATAGGAAATGAAAATAAATATTGATTACTTGTTAATATTAATTACTTGTTAATGGATGTAATAGTTATCAATTTAACGATATTCGAGAACCGAAATAATTTGAAATTAGTTTAGTAGTTATAGAAATTTCTGTTTAAAAAAGGAAAAGAAAGAAATGAAAACTGGAATGAAAGGATATTTACTCGCTATTGATTATTTACATTAAACTTTTAAATATTCCATGAAAAAAAAAAAGTGTCGAAATTGGGAAAGGTCAAGTTAATGCATGAAAAAGTAGGACAAATACCATTTGATATAATTACGTGCGTAAGTGATACACGTACGCCAAATATTTTACGTGAAACAAAACGTATAACTTTAATGAATTTAATGTAATAATATCGTATATTTTGAAAAAGATAATTTACATTAAGTATTTTAATTATTTATCAGTCAATTATATTGAATCCAATTAATATTTACCTTTTTTGTTTAATGTAATTAAATAAATAAAAAAACAGATAGCTAAACAAAATAATACAGGTGTAAAAGAAAATAATGATTACATTGATAAAGAGAAGTTTACATATGTAATTTCATTTTTCTTTCTTTTTTTTGACTTG